TATATACAGTGGTTTGCAAAAGTATTCATACCCCTTGAACTTTTCCATATTTTGTCACATTACAACCACAAAMATAAATATATTTCACTGGAATTTACTGTAATGTGAAAGCCTTTTTGCTGGCTGCTTGTAGTATTTGTAATAGTTATCTGTCTTGTTGCATCAGTCCGGCTGGGTAGAATACCATGAAGCACTTTTCTAGCAAATCTTTTTATTTTTGATGATTTTTAGCCACCTTACTTATTGTTTGACTGCTGTCGTTTGTCACAGGCCTCTGATAGTAAAATGAAACCGATTTAAATGTTAAACAAGCAAGCTATGAAAGTTATGGATTAAAAAAATCATTACTGTGAAATATTAAGCATGTTTTTTTGGCTGTTTATCGGTGTGAGAAACAGAAGTGAGTGTGTGACTAGAGGATGTAAGGGGATATTGTGTTATCCCTCTGAGGAGGAGGAGGAGTGCTCAGGAATGGAACTCACTACCAAATGAAATCAGACAGCTAACCTATAAGGTTTTCTTTAAACTTTTAAAAACTGCTTTTTGATTCATTCATTTATTATGCGGTATTGAATATTTGTATTACTGGTATGTTGTTTTTATTTTTAGCAGTAATGTTTTTTTTCTTAGTGTGTCAAGATTTGTTTATTCCACGTTTTTGTCCTTATAAATTGTGCGTTTGTGCTGTATTAGCCTTTTGGCTAATTCTGGCATTTTTTAACTTACAAATTGGCATGTGTTTTAATTGAGCTGTCCCCTTTCAAAAGAAAAATCTAATCAAATATTCGAAGGGATGCTCTTTCAACGTTAGCAACAATTTGTGCTTTATCAGCCATGATGCTGTTCTGTAATACAACGTTTTTACACACCCTTGTCTGTTTTGAGAGTTGTAATATTTTTTTTGTTTGGCTAACCATTATAGCATTATCCTTACTTTGTAGTTTGACTGATGTTATGGCCGATAAAGTACTAATTATTGATTCATATGAAATTTGAACTAGAGTCTCCAAACACACTAGACAAACTCTAGTCAAGATTTAATGAGTTATCTTCCATGGTAGCTGTTTTAGTTTTGCCACTCTTCCATAAAGCTTAGAGTGGTGAAGAACTCGAGCAACTCCTTCAGAGTGCTCGCAGTTGTCTTCTCACTTTTCTGCTTCTTGCAGGGTGACTCAGTTTGTGCAGACTTTGCAAGAACCATCAATATATGTCGTGTTTAAATATAAATACACCACAAAACAAAACTAATTATAATCTGCTTCTTTGCGACTATCTGGAATGACAGACTCTGCTCAACGTTTGGATCACAAATGTAAAGTTGTATGAACGCACGCACACATAAATGCRCAACGTGATCCACAAATAAGTCTGCGGAGCAATATCTTGATGCCAAGGCATTGCTCAACACAAGTGGGGTCTATTAAACCCAACATGTGTCTTCAATAAAGTCTGCTTGCTTTAAATGAGAACATGGTTAAAAGAATATCCAACTTCCCTTTGCTCACACTCAGAAACACCGGCCAACAATTGAGCCTCTCCAACAGTCCRGCCATCTTCTCATACACAAATAGCCATCGGTTCACGCTAAAAATTTAACTTTTAAAATGTCCTTAGACGGCAAAACAAATAAGAAAAAAACCTGGTTTGTTTTAGCGAAAATCTAATTATTTTACTATGAATAGAGATGTTTGTTTGCMGGATAAAAACAATGTTAAATGTCTTCGCATGGAGGGCAGGAACTAGAAACTAGAGGGAGTTTTAWTGCTACAAAATCTTCTTTACTTCATCATGGGAGTAATGGAAATATTTACTCTCCAAATCAATAAAAAGTGTCATGAGGTGTTTGCTTTAGAGTGCAGACAGCTTACCTTCATTTCCAGGTGAGCCGTTCCTTAAGACCTGAAYGTTTCTGTCCACGTCTGACAGAAGGTTCTGGATGGTCTGACACGTTCCCTTCAGTCCTCCAATATCATGAGCATGAGCCCCGACCGTGCTGTTCAGCTGGTTCATGCAAGTCCACAGCTCGGTGACGTGCTCATTCAGGCCTTCTTTGATCCTCAAGAGGCTGCTGGAGATGGGATCCAGCTTGTTACACAAAGTCTCCATGTTTACGACTCGGTCGTCCAGCTTGGCGATCTCTTCCCCTACACCTTGTGTTGTTTCCTTGCAGAGGGCGACACCCGCTTTCACCTCTCTTCCCAGCTCGTCCAGCTGTTGTCTCAGCTCACTGTGCTGGGTTCTGTGCAGCTCCAAAAGCTCGATGGCCTCCTGCTCAGCTCCCGCTTTAACGTGACCCCAGGTGGAGTTAAGGCCCCTCGGTGTTTGAGGCTGCTGGAGTATGRCATTTGTTAAGGAGTCTTTCATGCTTTCCAAATATCCCTCAAAGTCACTTAGCTTGTCGTTTATACCCTCAAGGCTGCTGCTATGGTTGAGGAGTTGCCCCTTTATGGATTCAACATCATTCATCTGAACATTTAGATTATTCTTCATGGTATCTACTACAGTTTTATAGTTGTCCAAGTCTTGCTGAAGGTTTTCCTGAGCAGTCATGTTAGCTCTGCACTCTTGTGAGCATAAATTATTTATGTCATTGACTCTTTGGTCCAGAACTTTGACCGAAACCTTTAGAGACCTAACGTCTTCCTGCAGAGYCCCTGCGCTCTCGTTTTTACCATCAGAAGGGAAGTTGCTGCTTGTATCGACCAACAGTTCKGCCCATTTGTCCTCTATCAAAGCCAGTTTGTCTTCTAGAGCCTTCTTCAGGTCTTTGATAGCTTCGTCCTGCTCGTTCCGAAGGCTCTCCTCCACAGAGAGGCGCTGAGCCTTTAGAGTCCTGTCCGATGAGTTCAAATGAGTTTCAAGCTTCTCCAGACGAGCCAGAACTGAGGAAGAGCCTCCAGAGTCTACCTGCCCCAGATCAGCCACTTTGGCCCTAAGATCCTGGATCTCATTGCGGAGGTCACTTTCTTTTGTTTCCATGAGCTCAGCCAGGCTGTCGTAGTTTGTCTCCTGTCCGTCACACTGCTCTTGAACTGAGAGGATTTTATAATCACAAGAATTCTTTAAGTCTGCCATCTTGATTTCCATGCCTTCCATCAGCTCTTCTCTAAGAGCGCTGATCTTCCTGTCTAAGTAGGCTCGCAGGTCTGCGTCACTGGTTGGAGGTGCCGGAGGGGGTGTGCCCGGAGGGGTCTGAGCACGCTCCATCAACAGACKAATCTGTCCATCGTTGTCGTTCACTCGACCCAGCAGGTCATCCAGGGTGTTACCCTTGGACTCCAGTTCATACATGACTTGGTTTAGCTGGTTCCTTACGTCATCCATCTGCGTGGTCTCGTGGTCCAAAGAGAAGTCCTTCACCTGAACGGTTTGGGTCTCAGCGCCACGTGCACTGGCGGGCTGTTTGAAATCATCCAGCAGGGAGACCAGCATTTTACTGGCGTCCTCCTGGAAGTCCAGCCTCAGATTGGAGGCCATGTCCGTCATCCTTGCTTGCATGTCGAGGACCATCTGGGACAGCCGCTGCATCTCCTGCTCCAGGTGTTGCTCACTTTCAGGCCCTCTTTGACCCACTTGTGTCCTGCCCCCTGCATGACCTCCAACCTGCCACTCTCCTCCAAATGGATAGTTTCTCTGGTCCGCTGTCCTCTGGTTAGAGGCTAGAAAAAAAARGGGGAAAGCTTTAATTTGAAAATGGTATTGATCGATTTATTATTACACATTTTCAAAAGATCTTCCTTGCTGACCTTGTAGATTTGGGAAATAACCAGAGGCAGAGGGGGTTTGGGGTAAACGCTCTACTTGGGTTTGCCTTATGTCTTTCACCTCCATGCAGTCTTGGCCCTGGTACCCCGGGCAGCACCTCCACTCCAGTTCTGTTATGGTCTTGTACCCAATCTTGTAAGTAGGCCTGAAATGTGTTCGATATCTAAAATAAATTACATTAGAGTGTTAATATAGATGGTACTCTCTCTAGATCGAATAGAATAGAATAGAATAGAAACAACCTTTATTGTCCCAGTGTCACAGCAACATCCAAACAGAGGTTCACACACTAGTTTCTTTATAAACTATAGATAGTGCACACAAAACAAAAATGAACACTGACTAGCCATGATACAACTACTAATGATAAAAAATATGATATAAAGAATTGTGCAAGAATAGAAGATATGTTTTGTTTTAGAGACAGTATCAGAATCCGACATTAGGAATCAGAAATTGCTTGTTTTCAGTGCAAAACAATCTCAACAGACCAATAACTGTAAAGCGAAGTATCATAATGCAGACAAGAAACACAGAGGTGCAATTACAGCAGAGTAGTAGTACAAATGATTGTGCAGCAGCAGGTGTGTAAACACTTATTGTGATTTTTGTAAACATTTATTGTGATTTTTGTAAACACTTATTGTGATTTTTGTAAACATTTATTGTGATAATGTCATTAGATAATGATGTCAACAGATAATGTCATTTCAAACTTATGATGAAGTACAGAACAATAATTTTGCGTAATATCTTTTTTTTCTCTTTCTGACATATTTTTAAGATTACATGAAGATCTGGCTGTTTCAAACAAAAAAAGGTCAAAAGGTTAAGGGTCAAATACATTCTTTCTAATAATAGATTTATAAGAAATTACATGTCAACAGAAGCAGCTACATAAGCAAATAGCTTTAAAAAAGAAACTAGCGCATATTTTTTCAGTATTATAAACAAATTTTTGAGTTAAAAGCACATTCGTAAATATGCAAAATATTTGTCACTTCCATAAAATGAAAATTTATGTGGTCAGACTTCCCTCAGTATTATGCTTTATGAAACCAAGACAATACATTTTCCCTCAGAAAAACTGCTAATCTGCTGCAGAGAGATGAGAAAGTGTTTTGATCAGTAAATAATTTCTTTGAAAGCTGCACTTTACTGGAGCAATACTGGAGTGTCTTATTTCCCTTTGGGCTCAATAAAATATGTTTGAAGTGAATTGAATTGAACTATCAGATCAGAAAACTTATTGTTTTTTTAACACTCAATTAAATAAGTGGTTAAACTGTGTTTTATTAGGTTATAACTGTATTTTCATTGGATTTTACAGAGCTTCACCTGAGATTTGGTGTGGTAGTGTCTGAGACTGATCCATGATACTTATTCTGAGTGGTAACAGATTGTGCGAGATCTTCGATTAAAACGTTGCCATCCACTATTTGGGTTAAACTGAAAATATCTCGTGAACTACCAGGAGGATTTTACTAAAAATCATCATTCATCTGATCAACCTTCAGAGTTAATTAAATTCAAGATGGATGCCACAGCTTGATAACTCAGTCAGCAGTCAAAACATGAAATGAAACTGAGCGTAACACTATTTTCAATGTTTGACCAAAACGGTTGCACATGGGGTCATTCCTCAAAAAAAAAAAAAAAAAAAAAAACATGATCTTGGCAAAAGCCTCAGGTGATATGATTTTCTTAAAAGCAAGGCCTGGGTGACTATAAAACACCTGGACAACCGATAAGTAGTTCTTTGGTTAACTTTAGTGCACTTACTGTAATAAATATAAAGGTGAAGTTACCTTGACAAATAAATGAATAAACTAAAATATGTTTTTAAGAAAATTAAACAAGTAACCATAGATAAAGACTGGACATATTTATCATTTAATCCTAAAATATTGAGCATTCAGTCAGCAGCTTGGCGTTTGTTGCCACCAATGAAACAAAACAAAGAGGTAATCTGAGATTATAACTTACTGATAATAAACACCTGAGTATATTCATTTCAAATGTACAAATCAAAGGGATTATAACTTGAATAGGCTTTGTTTTGTTGGTTTTGGCCCCCAAAAGATGACACTGTGAGAAGCAGTGGAAGTGCAGAGATGGATGTTAGACAATGAGTTAAAGTTTTTTTTTTTTTTTAAACAAACAGCAGGGATGATTTTAACCAGTGGCTACATGATCACCGGTGCTGTTTTAGCTTATTAAAGAAGAGAGCCGCTCTCCTCCCAGGGACAGAGGCTTCTGGGAACTTACATCACTTGTTGCGCGCAGTTTGGCAGCTCCGGAGGACACGGTGAGAACTCCGGCTGCGCGAAGCTCTCCGTCCCTCCCACGACGGCGCAGCTCACGTTTTTGTGCACCACATAGGCGCACCAGTTTCTGCGGAACAAAACCTCATTAAACCCGCTGCGATTACTCTTGCGGGACGTGAATGGTTAGAAAGTGCAACAAGTAACCCACTTGTTCCGTTGTCGCGTCTCAGCGGCAGAATACGGGTTTCCCTGGAACATGTTGTAGTGGAAAGGTGTGCCGCTGATGAGAGGCAGGCTGATTAAAAAGTGAAGCAGTTGTAGTCTCCGATTCATGGCTGAACAGAAATGGTAGTAGTAGTAATAATAATAATAAAAAGACAATCCAGCGGTGATTCCAGATGCAGTAGTGTGAGCTCTGCGGGTTGTTCCGTTTCTGCGGTGCGCAGATCCGAACCAGCTCCTTTCAGTCCTGGGATGTGACGTTTTGGGACCCCCTCCAGT